AAAAAAAAGGCCTCACACAGGTCTTAGGTCCCAATGGCAAATTTCTACTGGGAGCTACACGAGCGTGCGACCTGGTGGCTTCAAGCCTCAGAGCTCCAGCCATTCAGCAGCGCGTTACCACCAACGGCTGTTCGGATGCCGGCAGAGCACGGAGGTCCCCTGCGAGAAAGAGAGCCGAGTGACCAACGGCTCCGGCTCTTTCCGGAGGGTGCCCAGGTGTTTCCAGATCTCTGCTCGCGTCCTTGTGCTGGAAGTGAAGGGTCTTCACGCGCGACGAGACGACGGCGGGTGCTCCTCAGCCCGTCCCCTCCTATTTTAAGATGATGTGGTAGCTGTCATTGGTTTCAGCTGCAAAAGAAGCAAAGCTCGTGAGCCACCCGCAACAGCGCGGAACCCGCTGGGCTGAGCGGATCCGACACAGGAGCTCCCCAAGAAGTACAGCAGGGAAATAAAAGACGGAGCCCGGGCATCTACGCACCTTTCATGGTGTCCAGAACGAAACAGGATTCGTCTTGGAAGTTCTGTATCATCTGAAAGAAGCCAGGAAAGCCGGCTCAGGCTGCGTTCCAACACAGCGGAAGCGCTCCGCAGCCCTAAGCGAAGGCTTTGTGTTCGGCCGCTCAGCGATGGGCACAGCGTTAGAGCACCGAAAGGGCTGGAAGCTGCTCAGGCAGGAGCTTAGTGCCCTGCGAGGTAGGAAAGGCACCAGCCAGAAATCTTTATTCCTTCCTCCTTTCTCCAGAACCGAAGGTCTGAACCAGCAAGCCAAGAGAGAAACCATCGGACTCTGGGATGCGGGTCTGGAAGCAGAGTCCTCTCACAGCAGTTGCCCCCCATTTTTATAGCCAAGCTAGAGAGCGCGCGCAGCCTGGAGCAGCTCGGGGAGAGCCGTTCACGGCCAATAAACCTCACGGGTTTCAGTGAGGTGCCCCCAGCAGCAGAGCAGCGTCCCCAGACTTCAGTGATTAACTCCCAATCCTTCGGAAACCGGAGGCAACGGAGCCTTCCCGAACACCTGCCCAGGGGACCCGTCTCCCCCCAGCCTCCCCAGCAGAGCTCAGAGCATGATCGGACACGAAGCAGCTGAGGGAGGTTCTCCTCCCCCTCTGCTCTGCCCTGGGGAGGCCCCATCTGCAGTGCTGGGTCCAGTGCTGGGCTCCCCAGGTCAAGAAAGATGAGGAGCTACTGGAGAGAGTCCAGCGCAGGGCTACGAGGATGAGGAGGGGACTGGAGCATCTCTCCTACGAGGAGAGGCTGAGGGAGCTGGGCTTGTTCAGCCTGGAGAAGAGAAGGCTGAGAGGGGACCTT